GGACGTTGTAATATTCACATTATGATTTAATAATAACAAAGTGTGAATGTAACATAAAATAGTTCTACATAAACATCTTAATAATTCTGTAACCGAATAACAACTTGCAACTTTTTTTTATAGCTGTAGAGCTCCGGGTGAAAGAGTTTATCCAGGGAAGTACTTTTCAATTTCTGCCGCCAAGCAGCAATGTAAGCATTGCTGCGTTCCGCTTTTGAAGGGTAATGGTGCTGGTGAAATGACAGGACATGGGACTTGTAAACTTAACATGATTGGCGCAGGGGCAGTGCCACTCAGATTTTTGCGATTTAGAGCACTGACAGGCGCAGGCGGGCAGTGCTACAGTCGCGCGCAGCATGGCCGCCAGACGCACGACATGTTCCTCATCGATTACTATCACAGAAAAACTAAAGTGATTCAACAGGATCCAGAAGAGAAGGAGATTTTATTTGATTTTGCTTTTGAAATGCCAAAATAAAATAGTTAATACGACAAGATAGTAAGGAGATTCGAACAAAAGACCTTTCGTCCCCTTCGGTACAATCGGTCTACTTTCCTGATCGGTCCATTTTCACTATTCGTTTACTTTCCCGATCGGTCCACTGGTTTTTCCCGAGTCGTCCATTTCCCATTTCTTCTACTTTCCAGATCAGTCTACTTTCCCGTGCGGCCCACTTGCCCAAATGGTCCACCTTTTAGGCATGTAAATGAATAAAATTTTACACAAAAATCCGTTTTACATATTTTCAAAGGCAGTTTGTAATTGCATAATTGCAGATCGTCGTGGAGTACATTTTTTATATTTTTGATAATGATTGATTGATTTGAGTGATTAGAGTGATTTGAAAAAACTAAATGAAAAGACAGTTTTTAACCGACTTCAAAAAAGGAGGAAGCTCTAAATTCGACTCTCCTTTTTTTTGTATGTATGTTACGCGATAACTTTATTGACATTTGTGAACCGATTTTGATGATTCTTTTTTTGATGGAAAGATGGTACCTCAATAGTGGTACTATTTAAATTTAAAGATAATATACCACCTCTCAGGGTGGCGAACTAGGGGGTGAATCCGCTTTCGCGCACTTTCCGGTTACCGATTTCAATAAAACTTGGCAAATAGATGTAATTCTGAAAAGGTTTGACGTCGATTTTTTTGTACTCTACGAGATTATCTGAGTAGACCATTGAAGTAGACCTATCGGGAAAGTAGACCGATTCGGAAAGTAGACCGATCGGGAAAGTAGACCAAATGGGAAAGTGGACCAAACGGGAAAGTGGACCAAATGGGAAAGTGGACCAAATGGGAAAGTAGACCGAATGGAAAAGTAGACCAATTGTACCGAAAGGCTTTTGTCTTCTAGTCTTTTCCATGTTATAACTATTTTATATAACGTAAAAGTGTACATTCGACCTCCGTCTCACGTGATGGCAAACAGGAATTCAACGCTATGGCCGCACGCCATAGAATTGTGGAAGCGTAACCTTTTTGAATAATGATGTCTTGATTATAAAAACAGTGTATTTGAAAATGATACTTTATAGCAATTGAAACAATGAAAAGTTTCCGTTTTACTATGAAGCAAAATTTGGGCATTACTAGCAAACTGCTTGAATAGTCTCGACTTCAAGAGACAACTACAGATACAGTTGACTCATGGAAAATTGTGACGACTTCAAAATGAATCGAGGGCAAACACACTAGCATAGAAACCGCGTAACAATCAATGTGTGTAACTTGAAATTAAATTATTTTATTTGTATGAAACAGCAAGCGCAGCAAATTTCACCTCATGGCTGTTGAGCATGCAAAACTTTAAATGTACATAATTGAAATGTCAATTCTTCAAGTATTGATTAATTAATTAATTGCATGTTGGAGTATAACAACGGGCAATGTAGAAAACAGTATTTACTTGAGAATAATATCTCTAATTGGCAATTGCTGTAACTACTGAACTGATTTCAATGATTCTTTTACTGTTAGACAATTAATTAAGGCAACAACATAACTGAATGTAACATGGAGGTTTGAGATTGTGTGTCTCGAACAATGCACAACTCACTGCTGACTATGGGTCTCTTGTGAAGTGGGTAGGCCATAGTTCACCACACTGAGCGAAAGTGCTTTTTTGTCAAAATAAAGACATAATGGTGTGAATTACCTATATGATAAACCATTGTTACCTGTAACCTTTCACTCTCTGCTAGAATCAAAAGGAAAAGAATATTCTTATAATGTGTTGCAATTTGTTGAGCATGGTTTATGTCATATAAGGGCAAGCGTGGCCCTTTTTTAATAGTTGCCCATGATGTGATATCATTAGCAATCCAACAAAAATTATTTGTAACTTTTTACTTATATTGTACAGTGTTCCCACACACACATTTTCATGTTATATTTAAATAAACAGTATTATTATTAATTCATATAGGTAAATAGAAATGCTACACTATTGAACTCGGACAATCCCGTAAAAATAGCTGTATGTACGTACAAAGTAAATAAACATAAAAAAATACTCCAATTTAAGAATTAAAAGGTACAGAATCTACCAGTTACAATATTTCAAGACAAATGTTTACTAATTTTGTTAACCATAACATATTTTAGAGATTAATGATGACTACATTTATAATAAAAATACTTTGTTACCACAAATGTGCGATTACAAATTATAAACTCTAGAGTGATTTTGTGACATTAATAATATGAAACAAATGATTATGATTATGAAATTCTATTCAATTTAAAAATTAATCACTAAAACTTGTTCAAAGGCATTTTCAATATAATTTGTAGAAAAGTTTGGAGTTTACCTTCAATTTTAATAGCTAATTTGGAAACATACTATCTCAGTATACAGTTCTAAAAAAACCTACCTCAAAAGCCATTCATCCCCTCGTTTGCCACCCTTGGAGGTGGAATATTTCCTTCAAATTTAAATGGGACCAATACTGAGATAACTCTCTTTCCAAAAAAAAGAGTCATCAAATTCGGTACATAAATGGCTGTTAGTTGTGTGTTAGGTGCCAGAGTTATCGCGTAACATACACACAAAAAAAACATACATTCAAATTGACAACCTCCTCCTTTTTTTGAAGTAAGTTAAAAATAACATTCTCAGAAAAGAAAACGCAATGAATCGTAATATTTGTCAGTGTACCTAATATGTGTTTGTATCTATTGCTAAAATGAAACAAATACTTAAACAGTAACAAAAGAGTATTGCAGTGTGAAAGATAATGTGGGATATAAAAGGAATGCTTCGAGCCGAACTGGTTGGGATGAATGTTAGTAGAATAACACAAATTTACAGAGTGAATGTGCAGGAAAATGTAGGGAAAGGGTGACCTCGATGTACATACCTCAACAAGATTGTGAATTGCCTTATGAGAGGTCAAGTCAAACGTATAAAAAAAATTTGTAAAAAAAAATTAAACAAGTATGTATGAAAAGATTTTTTCACAAGCATGGCAAGTGGAGAGAAATAGATTGATTCTCACTGGGGTAGAGTAAGGACTATTACTCTAAGCATGATGGTATGTCTGTAAAATGAATGTGAAGAAGAATCATTAGCCAAAAAGCCTTATTAATGAGTTTAGACAATAAATAAACACACCTACATAAAAACATAGTATTGTTTAACATATCAACGTTCAAGCAAATAAAAACTTTTCTCACGCGTGTCACACAACCGTAGTTTTTATTTTTAATTCATAGGCAAACTAGAATCGGCTCCAACTATCATATCGTTCGATATCAAGTAATGTGTGAAATTGTCAAAATTGTTTGCTATTGACATTTCATTTAAAATAAAACTTCATCTTGACTGACATTAGAATTGAGGTCCAATCAAACTTGTTTTTCAGAGATGTTCGAAATTTGAATGTATGAAGCAATAATAACATTTTCACAGATAAGACATATGTTCTAACAAAACAGTTTATCTTTATGCTGGTTGTAATTTGCGGTTTTTGAACACATAGAGAATTTATGATATGTGTGTAGATAAACACTTTCATTCCAACTTCCTTAAAAGCTTGATGTACTAACTACTTGAATAAGAAAATATTTAGTTTTATTCATTTACTTACATAAAATAAAGTAAATGTTAAAATTGCAGTATAAGTAGTAAAATTAAATCACATGGTTATGATCCTCAAAATCACTTTACATCAATGTAAACCAATTACAATTAGCAATGTCGTATTTTTAAATAACTATAGGAGGGGGTAAACTCTGTTTATAGCCTATATGAACGATTTTCTCAAAAACAACTTGTTTGATTTTTATAATTATTATCTGATTGATCAACATATCATTGTAGTTCAAGTTTACTGCTTTCTCGGAAGACAGAAGCTTTCAGGAACTACGAGAGTTTGCTCTTTAAAGTTGAAAGCAAAAGTTGGATTCTCTTTCTCCCTCATATTGAATGTGAACTGTAAAAGTCAGAGAGAATGCACTGCAAATGTGACGACAAAATGATTTGCTGCTATTAGTGTGGGACTTTGCGTATTCTTAATGGAATTCAGACCAAATACTAATTCAAGGTCACTGTTTGATTGATCGAACTTTATTACTTTTCTGTAACAACCTCGACGATTTTATGCAAAAAAATGCTTCACGTCACTCAGTTCAGATGTTTAGAAAGGATTTATTAAAGAGTTTGCGCTCTTTTAAGTGTTTATATGTGTAATATGACACCCATGAAGAAATTATAATTTGATTTCAAGGCCATGAGTTTTTCTATGAGTTTTCGTTCGCGATAGACGAATTATCACTTTCACACGCTTCACACCGTCTCGCACTCGCAAAATCACCAAATAATTCCGAAAATAACACTTTATTTTTAGATACAAGACAGCATGACACACGTTTTCAGCTAAACAATTGATTTTTTACAAACAACCAACATTTCCTACAGCACAAATAAGGTTACTTAGTTGATAAATCAATATTTTTCTTTATATTAGCAACGGAAGTTGATGAAATACTCACAAAATATTTAAAAATTATCCGTAACTATAGAGACTTCGAGATAATTTGGTAGTTTTTTGCACTTCACAAATTCGTCTTCTAAGTTTTTTGTTAAAACACACGCGGCGTACACTTTTCTCGGCACTTTCGATTAATTAATATAAGAAAATGGAGCGTATACGGCGAGAAATGTTATTCTTTCAGCGTTCTTGTAACTTTATATCTCAGAAGGCACCATGTCTTAAAATCCGTGACGTCACTCGAATTGTTGGCAATCCTATTTCTATGCCACTTCCTTCTTATACAAAACAACGTCTTACAGTTTTCTAAATTTACCAATAAAATAAACCCTCACACATTGTAATAAAATAAAAACTCCTATGCGTTTCCTAAGCAGATTAGGTAAACGGTGTTGCCGCCCCAAAAATTAAATTAAAATTTTTCATCTCTCTCTGGCACTGACTTTTTTATTGATAAGGATGACTCATCCTTGGTCAGCTGTCTGTCACCGCTATTAATTAAAATGTATATATTTTATAAATTAATGATAAATGTAATCCAAATTAATTAAATAAAGCATGTAAATTGCATACAATACTACTAGAATTACTAGAATAAATTATTATTTTATTTTCCATAAACATTTCTTTGTCTATTCTCTTTGGAAGTAGTAATACTACTCAACACTAGATGGCGTTAAAATAAAAAGAAAACTTCTAGCGACATCACAACAGATGACGCCACAATTAAAATAATATTCTGATTTAATAATGAAGTCTTACAATAAGTAATTATTGTTTTGTATGAAATATAAGGAACGAATTTACAACCAAAGAATTGGGATTTATTCTATCTTTATGTAACTATGACGAACATACAGTAATGTGGCTGAACTCCAACCTACTGAACTTAAGAAATTAGATTATACTTAATATATTTATTCTGAAAGGCACGGGTCTCTATGAAGAGGGTGTGAAATCATTAAATCAGTTGGCAAATGAAGTTTGGAAGCACACAATTATTTTTAGGAATAAAATTATCGGGAATGTTCTACTATAAATGGAGGTGAATCTCACAATGTCTCTCAACGTCTTTTTATCTATACCTTTTTTTGTATTAAAGTAATAATTTACATATGTATCTATTTTACTATTTTGTCTAGTTCCTTGAATAGACATATCTCCGTAATAAACACTTTCTATTAAAGTTATATACCGTCGGTGGCCAAATGATATTAAGTCTTAAGGAAAAGGCCGTCATGGAGGGAACGTTAGGGTTACATGTCTACGCCTACTGATTGGTAGTACCATCTAAAATGCAGTATACTGGAATTTGAAGTGAAAATTATAATCAGTCTAAAAAATTGTATAACAATGAAATGCAAATTTTAAATATTTTATTAATAATTTAATGTTTAATAAAATGTGGTAGGTGGTTTACAACCAGTTTATTAACAGTCCAGTTCTGAACACAAATTCTATTTAAAAGTAGTCACAACCGTCACGCTTGTCGAGTGGGAAATTCACAGTAAAAAAAAACTAAATGAAGCCTACTACTATTTTGGGTTATAAATAACTCTCATTTGTTTCAATTTATTTAGTTAACACAAAACTAGACATAGTTTGAGTGACATGTAACATATTGATATCTATTTCTTATAAATAAACTATATGGCATTCACCACAAATCCTTTCGAATGGCAAAGATAAAAATTGTGTTATATAATATTTTCAAAATGACTCAAATACATTTCTGATATTATGATTCAATTGGTGTCTACATAGTTTGGTTTCAATACGATACATCAGATGGGACCATGATTACGACTATAATAATTCTGTCACGTTAGTGCATAGGTTCAAATATATGTAGAGTTTAAAAAATGACAAAGTGTCTCTTAGTCTGTGGCTGTGCATAATTTTGGTCACTGGAAACCAAACAGCAAATTAAAACTTTATTATTAAATACCCTTTTTCGTTTTGCGTATTAACAAATGGTACTGTTCTGATTGTCTGAATTTAGTTATATTTTGTTTTATCGCTTCTCTAGCAATTTGTGTAAATTTAAAATAGGTACGTTTTTTTATTAGTGTGGAGTTACAGGTTATGAATAAGGTAGCCACATGAACATAGGGTTGTGGCGTTTCTGTATATTACGAGACTTCGACAGTCGCCTATCTAACCATTATTATACGTATATAACACATTTTTAATTCGCAACGCTTCCTCTGTTCCGCAGTAGACAGGAAATTCTTCCTAGTGATGGTGGTTTACAAATAAATATACTTATTTAGAAATTATAATAAATGCAAACATTTATTATATAGTTTTAGATCCGAAAAAATAGTTTCAATTCATATGTGTAACAATCGCGAAAACATAAGAACTCGAAATGTAATTATGTTATGCATAATCACATTTCTCTACATCTTCTTCCTATGGTTGTCCCATGACTTGGTGTAAAACAAAGTCAAGTGCAAGTTGAAATTAGTGGTTTTATTCATTTGGTTACTAGTAATATAACTCAGAATATCAAAAATGAATGAAATAGTGTAGGCGTACAAATCAGGTCATTCTGAATGCAATAATAATAGGGGTTAAAGTATGAAATTGCCGATTTGTACTGAAAATCTGAATTGTTTATTTTTTAAATTTTTAACAAATTTATTTAATCAAAATAGTTGCCATTATTATCTATACATTGCTGCCATCTAATGGGAAGGTTATTAATGCCTTTGCGATAGAACTCCGACGATCTAGACTGCACAAACTGTGTGAAAGCATTTTGTACTGCCTCCTGGGAAGAAAACTTCTTGTCACGTAGATAATTGTCCAAATCACGAAAAAAATGGTAGTCCGTTGGAGCAAGGTCTGGTGAATACGGAGGATGACGAATGGCTTCTAACTGCAGTTCCTGAAGGGTCAAAATGGTTTCTCGTGCTGTGTGAGGTCTCGCGTTGTCGTGGAGCAATAATGGTGAAGATCGATTCATGAGTCGGGGCTGTTTTACTGCTAGTTTTGTCAACATGGTTCGGAGTTCGGCACAATAGACATCTGCCGTTACTGCTTGACCAGATCGGAGAAAACTATAGTGAATAACACCATGCTGAGACCACCAAACAGTTACCATTACCTTTTTATTGGTAAGTTTTGCTTTAGGACACTGTTGTGGCATTTGACCTGGGGTCAGCCATTGCATTTTTCTTTTCCGGTTATTATAAAGAATCCACTTTTCATCACATGTTACAATTCGATCCAATATTCCTTCATTTCTGTACCGGTTCAACAAGGCAACACAAGTTTCAACACGCGTTTATTTCTGCAGATCAGTCAAATCATGAGGCACCCGTTTTTCGTATTTTTTTATTTTATTGATTTGACGCAAGTGAGTCAATATTGTGGGTAAGGTAATGTTAAACCATGCCGCTAATTCCTGGGTAGTTTGACTAGGATCGGCTTCCACTATCTCTCTTAATTCATCGTTATTCACCTGTGTGGGCGGTCTTCCTCGTGGCTCGTTCTTTAAGTCGAAATTTCCATCACGAAAGCGTTTAAACCAAAATCGCACGGTGCGTTCATTAGTAGACCCCTCTCCAAACGCAGCATTGATATTGCGGGCTGTTTCTGCCGCGTTAGTTCCGCGTCGGACCTCGTATTCAAATATCACTCGAATTTTCGCAGTATCCATCTTTCTTGTCTAAATTGAATAACAAAAACAATTGAAAGTCGATATTCAAATGTTTCAAATTTAAAAAAAAAAAAAATCACAGAAACCATTTGAAAAAAGTTTCATTCGAAAACCTCAAACCATGAAGATTCTATGAAAATTCA